CTTCTTCACAAAATTCATCTTCTGTTAAAATGAAAGTGCAGTCAGTGACCCTGGTTGCATCTTCGATATCTGCAATCACATTAGCAGCATGCCTTGTTGCGATGTTTTCTATATACACAGAAGTCGCTATGTTCTGGACTGAACTTGAACAAGAGATCAGCAACTTTAAGGTAAGCACAATTTGGTTTTATTTGGACGTGTTTTGACACGTACGAAATGCAATAATTTTAAAACTGCAGGTGACCACAGACGACCTTTGGAAGGATATTATGAGCATAGGCTTGAGACGAAGAGTTCGACGTCAGCATGAAACTCTTTACGGAGCTGTTAAAAGCATGCCTCTACCTGAATCATTGGGAAATGGTCCACCCTCAATTCCAGACACTAATCCTCCATCTACACCTCCATTCGCTCGTAAAACAGGAACGACCGAAGATTCAGAGTGCAGCTGTAATGCAGAAAGCAACTGTCCAGCTGGTCCACCAGGTCCAAAAGGAGTCCCAGGTGCACCTGGTCCCGAGGGATTACCCGGACTTGATGGAAAGCCAGGAGTTGATGCAGAAGACATAGTTCCTCAGCGAGACACAGCCGGGTGTTTCTATTGTCCGATGGGACCACCTGGACCACCCGGAGCACTTGGCCGCCCTGGACCTCGAGGATTACCTGGACCGAAGGGACACGATGGAAGTCCAGGCAGAGATGGACTCCCGGGAAACCCTGGAGAACAGGGACCTCCAGGACCAGTAGGGAAGATAGGTGAATCTGGACCACCAGGAGAGAAAGGTCGCGACGCAGAGCATCCTATCGGTCGCCCCGGACCAAAAGGTCCTCAAGGTGATGCTGGTCCTCCAGGGCCACCAGGCCTCAGCGGACTCAATGGACCTCCTGGGGAGCCAGGGCCTGTTGGACCTCCTGGACCTATGGGAGAACCAGGACCGCAAGGTCCAGAGGGAGAAAAAGGCGAGGAAGGTGATGAAGGAAGGCCTGGGAAAGATGCGGAATACTGTCCGTGTCCTGACCGTGCGGCAGCATCTGGTACGCCCCTTGACCAAGGCTACAAATCGATTTGAGCATTTGACATCGAAAATTAAATTTTGTTAAATGATATTGAGTATCATATAATAAACATTGGAATTATGGGTTTGAAGCAGAAATATCAGATCATTGTCTATGATGTTTGAGATTCAGCACGCACATAAAGCACGTTGAATAGACATATTGGATGAATTTGTTTAGCCTATACGCATTTAAAGTATCCTATAAATAAATTTGTGGAAAAGTTGGATGACCCTTGCAAACCATTGTTTCAAGGCCACTGGAGCTTCGACAACTGCTTGAGGATGGAAAAACACTAGAACCAAAAATTCTCCTCATTCGTTGATCATCTTATCAGACTCACTGTATCTAGTGAAAAAAAGTCAGAACTAATGTTAACATTTGAAATTTGCAACGTGAGCCTCACATTTTGGATTAGATACTTAGTAAAAATAATCTGTGGATCCTTGTTTTGATTTTGTCTTTATTGGTTATTGGTATGAAAGTAAATGCGACTGGTAATGTAGGTCGACAGCGGCCTCCTATTAAACATTATATAAATCTACATGCCTTCTAAAAGCTCGGAGATAAGTCCCCATGTAAAACTATCAAAAATGCGAACAAACACATATCAATGTTTCTAGGTGCGCTTTTTGCTCTAAAGGAGATAGAGCGAAATAGAGTTTTTACCTGGTTTTTGCGCTTTCGGTTGCATCAAAATCTGTCCTTTTCTACAGAAAAGAGTGATTACAAAAAATAGAAAAAGAGTTTGCTCTTATGTTGTAAGCTTTTGGTCTTCTTTAGATTTTCACCGTAGGCTAAGTAATAGAGATGTGCAACAATTATCCTTATCATAACTATTCAAACTTCGTAAAAGCATGCATCCTGCACATCTTTGTTCTCATATCAATTGCATGACATGGAAAACCATTGCGCTGACTTATTACCTGAAACCTTTCGGGTGGTTTTTTCAACTTTTTTCTAGTTTAAATGTGGTTTTTTACTGAAACCTATGTATTATTTTGTTGAAGATTTTCTTTTTCAAACGTCTAAAAGAATCAGTGAT